ATTCATGAGGTCAGCAGGGAATGCATTTGGTTGCGATCCATAATCCAACACATTAGAACAACATGTGGCCTCTCATCAATAACAGATAGCTCCAAAATATTATATAAAGATAATTTTGTATGCAATGCATAGATGAAAGATGGTTATATCAAAAGTGACAAGACCAAACACATCAAATTCTTTTACGCACCTGAACGCCAAAAGAATGGTAAAATTGATATTCAGCATATACATTCATGTGAAAATTTAGCAGACTTGTTCACTAAAGCATTGTCAACCACAACGTTCAAGAAATTGGTACACAACATTGGGATGCGACAACTTAAAGATCTTTGGCACTAATGAGGGGGAGTACTTAATATTAAGGTGCTCAGGTTTTGTCCCAATAGATTTTTCTGGCAAGGTTTTAATGAGATAGTTCTAACCCATACAATACTATTTTCAGGCAGACAAGAATATTACCCTTTTTTTTTTTTTTTTTTCCTTCACTATGTTTTTTTTATTTTTTATTTTTTATTTTTATTGAGTTTTTCCTAACAAGGTTTTAATAAGGCATATTCTTAATATAACATTGTGGACTCCTAAGAAGAGTGTTACAATATGTGGGCTCCACATTATTAATGCATTATCAGTACATATGCATTTGGATTGTGAATCTACAAATTGGAAGGCAACTTGCATTTGTAATGATAACACCAAATGCTTAACTACGAAGGAAAGCTCCTATATATATATATATATATATATATATATATATATGATTGGTGTGTGAGTATCTTTTATAGATTGAAAACAAGAATTGAATACAACGCTCTCTCTCATCAATTATTCTCTATGTATTCTTTCTTTTACTATATAACAATCTCAAACTTATATGTTCTTTTTTGGTTTCTCCAATTGAAAATCTCACATCAGCTTGTTCAGATAGACGACTATAGTTTTGTATCAAGTTTCGTTTATTTTGTTTCTTGGATGCAAACAGAGGAAAATCTAAAGGTCCAATATTGTGTTATTTTCTTACTACATTTTCTCAGCGGTCAAACAGGAGTAGCTGTTTTTAATAGTCTATTAGGTAGATTGCTTTTGTATGTGTTACCTTTGATAGTTCTTTTTAACAGTTATTATCCGATGCTTATTATAAACTTCCATTTTGCAGAAATTTACCACTTGATTGCTAGGAAAAGTCACTTAGAAAATAGAAGAAAAGTTTAAATCTCAAGTTACATGTTGCATTGGTTGGTCTCCATAAAAATGAAAATCCTTTTCTCAACCCATTCAAATAGTTGACTATAGTTCTCTAATCAGTTCCGTTTACTTTTGTTACTGGAATGCATGCCAAGGAAAATCTAAAGAGTCCTATTTTGTGTCTTTTCTTCCTGCATCTTCTCAATGATCTTACTTCTAGCTGAACGTTCTTATTTTGCTGAGTGTTATTTTTTATTGTTCTAAATATTGTTCTGATTTCAAGAGATATGTTCTTGATATCTGTAAGTGAGAGCCTTTTGAAATTCATTTGAGCATATGAGGTGCATCAACTAAAGCCTGCCAAGTATAAGGTCAAAAAATTAAAATCGGCGATCATGAAAAATAGCACTTTTTGAGAAGATCCCAATCTCCAAATATCTCTTGAAATCAGAACAATATTTACAGATATCAAGAACATTTTTCACTAAGAAATATTCACCTTCTTTTTTTCACTGTTGCTGCAAGCATTTATATATGCACTTAATGTTGGAAACGGGGGCATTAAAAACATAAACTTTGGATGAGATTTGAAATAGATTCCGTTAATAATTTTTTACGGATCTCTAGACAAGCGCGTTTCTCTCCGTAAGGAGATGAATGTGGTATATTTACTTTCTGAAATCCGTTTCCGGATGAATGAGAAATTAGCTCCAAAATGTGGTGTTTTGATAAGCCTAAATGGGTATGCAAAATGTGGGAAGTGTTTGTCCCACATGGAAAAAATGTTGAAACAAATTGAAATTTAAATAAGCTGAGTTTAGGATTTGGGCTTGGGCTTGGGCCTAATTGTAAAGTCCAGATTATTCTTTTTTTGGAATTTTGGATTGGGCCTAATTTTGGGCTGGACTTATTTAAATGGGTTTCACAAATGAGTAGGGTTTTTGGGTGGTTGGTTTTTTGAATTAAAAAAACTATTTTTTAGTTTTTCTAAAAGGTTACACCTTTTAAATTAAAAAACCATATTTTAGTTTTTTCTAAAGGGTTACACCTTTTAAATTAAAAAACCACTTTTAGTTTTTTCCAAAGGGTTACACCTTTTTCCGAACCATCATAACCCATAGTTGCACCCACTCGAAAAGGCACATTGTAACCTATTGGAATGGATGTGTCTATTGGTGAACAGACACCATGTGAACCATTGCAACCTATTGCAATGGTTGTGTCCAATGATGAAAAGACGCACCCCATCCGAAAAGGCATTTCTATTTCTATAAATACCCCCCTTTAGATCATTTGCAAGTCATTCATTTTCATTTTCTTCTATCTCTCTCTCTAGACTAGAACCCAACCCAAGTGGGTTCAAACATTAGGTTAAGTGGTTCGAGCCACTTCGATCCTAATCCAATTTCATCGAGCTATATTAAGATTGGTTCGAACCATTTGGTTCGGATTACACCCAATGCAGCATTTATATAGTATATAGATGCATTTTTTAGTCAGAGAGAGTATTACACGGAGGAGGTTCGCCGTATCTACGAGTTTGTAGTGCTGCTACTGGTGGATGTAGACCGTTGTATCCTGGGAGATAGACGCCACTGAGTCCGTTAGCACCATAGCGGGGCGAATCTGTCTTAAGGACATAGTATCCAATACTAGCCTCGGTCCAGGTTCATTCCTTGCATATTATTATTATTTTATTGCTTTATTTTGTATATTTAATTAAATATAGAGTTGCATATTTAATTAATGATTTATTAGCATATTGTTAATTATCTCATGACATATTAGTATAAAGGTTGTTATATCTTAAAAGTCACATTAAGCATATATTTTACCAACAATCCAACAATCTTAAGACAGAATCATTCCTTGCATATTATTATTATTTTATTGCTTTATTTTGTATATTTAATTAAATATAGAGTTGCATATTTAATTAATGATTTATTAGCATATTGTTAATTATCTCATGACATATTAGTATAAAGGTTGTTATATCTTAAAAGTCACATTAAGCATATATTTTACCAACACTTAAATATGAAAATTTATTAAAGTTGAAGCACATTCCAATGGCATCATTCCCCAAATGTAACATAAGTAAAATATGAGAGGTAGATGGGGGAAATTTTGAATTGATTTCGCTAACAAACTTTTTCCAACCTCAAGCAAGTTGTTTAAGTTGATTATTTTATTTATTCTAAGCCCAAAATTTCTGAATTTTTATAGAAATTAACCATTGAAGTGATATAATTCTTGATTACGTACCGGAAGAGGTTAGGTTTTGTAGAGTAGTTGTTTTAGATGGTAGTTACACAATGTTTTTTGTAACACCCAACCCTCGTTGTAAGAGATGTAGAACAAACCTAGTTTTGTATTCATATACATATCCTAGATAATCTTTATTATTTGTATACAATTTTTTTTTTTTTTAAAGCCCACCAAATTATATCTCTTAGCACTCTACCTGTCCACCATATACTTTTTCTCAGTCAATAAAAAACCATATGTATATCTTTTATTTTGCTTTCTCCTACATTGGTCAATTAATTGTCTTATTAAATAAATAGCTTCCATTATTAGATGTTTCTGGCATAAATCCAAATTTTGAAAATTTCTCCTTGCATGAGAAATCTGTTCTTGCCGTTATTCTCAATGACATTCCAACAAAAGGTCCCTATTATTCTTCTTTGTAGTTACTCTTATGTTTATCGACACACACACATTGTTATTTAGTGATGGTGGGTTTTCCTTGCAGGTGTAAATGGCAATTCATTATATTGGAAGTACCTCGAATAGCCACGGCAGGGGTGGGTGATTATATAGATGTCATATAATGAGGTCATATGTTTTTGGCTTCTTAATTGTAGTATTTGTAATGAAATGTCCAAACATAAGTTACATAATTTAGTGTCGCTCTCACGCTAGCTCTGCGCGCTCTTTCGTTTAAATTATCACTACTCATGATTTAATTATGCCGCTCTCACGCTCCGTCACTCAAATTCACTTTCGCTCTCTCTCTCTCGCTTTATGTGATTTAGGTCCAAACTGATAATATCCCAGAATTTGAAATTAGCGTGTGGTAGAAGAATGTCTTCTTGTATGAAATGTTCTACAAGCTCCATTTTGCATTTTGTTAAGGTGTCCTATGATTCAATATTACATGTTTAAGATACACTTTCTTAAAGTCGTGCACGGGCAGAAACACCTTATTTAATGACATAGAGAATGAATATATGCATATGCTGACATAACTTAGCAAGGATGTATTGTCACACTTTGGGTTGAACTCACAACCCTTCACTGTTTAGTGTTAACTATCTTGGCGCATCCATAAGGGTTCAAAATGAGAAATAGTCTCTCAGAATGTAGAAATAAGATTGCGTATATATGAGCCTTTCTAAACTCCACTACAACAATTATGGTCTCCAACAACACTTTTATTTGCTGTCAAAAGTAAAAAAAAAATGCTGCCATAACTACTTAGCAACATTTATGGCAGCATTTGTATTTGCTTTCATAACCTGTGCTGCGATAGGCATGGCAGCAATTGTATCTGCTGCCATATATGAAAAACATATGGCAAAAAATATAAAAGTCGCAAAAAATGACACTTATTTTTAAAGGTTATTATAACAATAAATGTAAATGAAACAATTTTTTTTTTAAAAAAATCAAATTTTTATAATCAACATCAATCCATTTCATAAACCAAATTTACTAATTAATAAATCCAATCCACAATAATGACACTTATTTTTAAAGGTTATAACAATATATTTAAATGAAACAATTTTTTTAGTGACAAAAAAATAAAAAAAAAAAATCTCAACCATAGAATATTTAATCCATATATCATCCTTGACAAAAAAAAAAAAATGCCTCAACCATACAATTTTTTTAGTGTCCGTCTACTAATCTAACTTCTGACACTCCTTGCCTTGTAAAAAGAGAGAGAGACTCCATATATCATCCTTGTTATCCTTCAAGTATCATCCTTGTACAACCTGAAATAAAACATTTAACTTATTAGAAACCAAGCTAATCATTTCAACAGAAATCTCGTTCCTACCAAAAAAAAAAAAATACCTTCTCTTTTATTTTATGTGATACTTTTTTTTTTTTTTTGGCTAAAAGAACAACATATCTCCAGTAAGAGATCACAAAGCAACAACCACATTAGGACAGAGTTGACAGAAGAAATCTGGTTGAGGCTAAGGCCACAACAACAAATTCAAACCTGCTTTGAGCATAAGGAAACACTACTTTCAGAGAAAACTGCAATTAAATCCCATCACCATTGAAAAATGAAAACTGATTGTGAGGGAAGTTCAGTTCCCTCTGCACCCCACATACTGTCAAGAGATTCATCACACTATTCTAAATTTCTAATACTACCAAGCTTAGAATGATTTCATTGTCAATAATGCACAAATTATATCGTGTCAAAATTAAAATGATCTCATTGTAAAATAATCAGCACACTATTCTAAATTTCTAATACCACCAAGCTTAACCTTAGTACAATTTAATGGAGGCAAATATTACTCACTTCTCACCTGAAGACAGTAGTAGTAGAAGATTATCCCATGCCATTACCAATGAGAAACCAAAGCAACCAATGCCAGGCACATCAAATGCACAAAAAAGGAAGCCCTGCAGCCAATGAAGAAATATATGATGAGAAGATTAAAATTTGTATACACTAGAACGACATTCTATACCCATAGATCTGCAGTCAGATAGCACATATCAGCCAGTCACATATTTATCTTCAGAATGATGAGAATGCTAAAACATACTATATAAGATGCTGAAAAGCTTCCTGTCATGATGAAACATATGAACAATGTAATAACATTGTTTGTTGTGAAAATAGAGGCCAACAACCAAAAATATCAACTTTGATGAATTAAATAATAGAAACCCAAACCCATAACTTTGTTTTGAGGAATTGAAATTGCAGTAATATCTAGAAAATCACAAAACCAGAAATGGCCCTCATTCTACAATATCTCAAAGCAGAAGAAAATTGCTAAAAAAGTCCAGTACTTTTCCTAGAAAAATCAATATATCATTGAACCCAGAAAGACTGTTGTAAATGGTAAATTCATCATTAGACCATATAACAAGGCCCTTGGCATTTACAGGAAAAACTGTTGTAATGATAAAAAGATAAGGAAGCTTTTGAAATTTATCATTTGTCTATGAAGTTACCTGATGAGTATTGGTGGGGGCAGTTTGAGTGGTATATTGCTCAGTATGTGTAGCCAGTTGATTTTGGTTATCACTAGCATCCATCCGGCCTTGCAATCCAATTATTAGTTGCTTCAATTTTTGCACTTCTTTTAAATCATGAACTTCTTCTTCACAAGCCTTTCTACCCTCTGAAGCCATCTTCATTGACTTCACACAACTAGGTGTTGTGCCCCAAATATCTGACGGAGAGGGACCTAAGCCATATGTGCGAACTAGGCCATGTCTATCTTCGCCAACTACTTGGGAAAAGATGCCATCTCTAGCAGCACCACGTTGTGAAGTTTCTGGTTGCTGAGTTGCATATTCTTTAAGCTGTTTCTACATAAAAAAAAAGGGCAAATGTTTGCATTATACAACCACAATATAAAGTAAGCAACAATTTAATCTTATATGTATTATTATGAAAAAAGAGTCCACTACAAAGTCCAAATTCCACGAACATATCTTACAATAATAATTTTTGCAGATGCTTCATCCATTGGTTGTCCATTCTTCTGCGTGTGCGTTAGGATATACATCTCTGTCCGAGTTGGTTCCTCTCCATTAGGCCTCTTCTTACGCTATCCTCAAATAAATAATTAACATTAAAGTTCAGAATAATTATTTGGAAATTAGACTACCAAAATATTATCACATAAGCATAATGCACAAAATAACTTACCTCTTCTTCGCGTATTCGCATAAAGCTTTTTGACCTTGCTATGTGAGTATATTTTTGCTTAGAACGACTGATAGTATTAGTATTGTTACGCTCCTAAAACTAAGAAAAACATGTTAAAACATTATTTAGAGAAAGATAAGAGAAATCAAAAAGGGAATGTGTGCTTTACACCTGTCCTTTGTCTGAGTTCCAAAATTGAATTAGGTAATACCACTGCTCTGGCAGAACTCAATCATCACGATCTGTCAGTCACTCTGCATCAGTCGCATGTTTCTTGTAATGTTTTCTCTTCAAATTAGATTTAAAGTTACTCCATTTCCTACCAGTCGATTTCAGTACCCATGATTTAGCATACTCTAGAATGATAAACTTTTCCTGCCACAAATTCAAAACACATAAAACAAACTTAGTTGGAGCTACAAAGTATAAACTGTGTTGGTGCGTCCACTAGTATTAATAAACAAATTGACACAATGCTTCATACCAAGACCATCTTCCAGACCTCCTCTTTAAAACGATCAGGTAAATTCCTCCAATCTGTAAAATGCAAGGGTAGTAGCTCGCTGCTTCGTGCTATAGTACCCAGAAATTGACCCAAAATTCTGCCTTTTTCCTCAATGGACTGCCCAATTCATTAAAAGCAACAAACGTACAATCTTCCTCAGATCTGCCCCATATGTCAGGGCACCTAGTGTCTCCATGAGTCTTTTGTTGTATCCTTGATGATTATATTACATGAGTGGTTACTTAAGAAAATGAGTAATCTTACAAAAATCAAGATGGATTTTATTGAAATAATGTTCAAAGATTCATATACCTCCAGTTTCAGTAGTACTGAAATTTTGAGAAGGGATTGACTGTTCCAGACTGGAGGTAGACTGATTTTGTGTAGGTAAAAATTGTTGTTTTTGTATGGAACTCGTATGTAGAGTGTTATAAAATAAGGATCAAATAGGAGTTTATGAGAACAAAGAGAAAATTAATGACAAGAAAATAAAATAGCACACACAACGAGACAAGGATTTATGTAGTTCGGCTATGCCTATGTCCTCGGGGAGAAGACAAAATAATATTTGACTATGGAAATAAAGAGATACAAAGCAAAGTGGCTCACACCCAAAACCCAATTACACCCAAAACCTTTCACTCCAAATGATACTACAAATTCACTCAACTATACTCAACTGATGATCCCAGGATACCATAAACCAAGTGGAGCAAAAAGCCAATTTATAGCCAAAACATCATCAACATATGCTTGCTGATCAAGCATATTCTTGTTGACCACGCATGACACTATAACAGCTTCTTGAACACTCACCTTGGCTGCCAAGTTGATGAAGTAATGGATGATGTAATCAATGCTGAGTTGGCAAATTTGAGCCACAGTTTTCAACAAATCTCCACATTGGCAAAAATTCAAATGAGCCATTGTATCTCTGCTAAATAATTTGTCTTCTCCACAAAACAAATTAATTGAGAATTTTAGTTAAGTGTAAGTCATTCTCAAACTTAACCCTTGGCCTTTTATTCTTCAACCCATGCATGTCTTGCGCAGCCACAAGTATACCTCCAGTATTTCTATCAAACTTTAAACCCTTACCCTCAGAAACTCTAAGTTTGACATCTCCTTCAGCAACCTTCTCCAACCACCCACAAACCACCGGCTGGTAATGAAAAGTCATCTTCTCACCCTTGCAGAGAATAGGACGTCCTTGGCTTTTTTTTGCATCTCTATTGTGACCAACTACTTACCTCCTATGTATCTTAATGGCACTCGAATGGACTATCTCATTGCCACCAAGATTATTGCAAGTCAATATCGCACCTGTCCTCATAGGTCTGCCTCCCTATAAGGATTGGTGTGTGTCAAATACCAAAGCACAAAGTGTGGTAAAATGTAGTGTGGCCAAGTTTGAATTTATAGAATGTCACTACCACTACTAACTATTAATGTAGCTAGAGTAAGTATGGATCATCCCAAGGGAAAGGAGCGGTATTCTTGGAATCAATAATGGATTAGTAGGTCGAATGATCAAAAGATGATTTGATTTGATTAAACTAATGGTTCACTTAAAATAATGTAAGTAAGCAACAAGCTAGAAATAGAGAAAATATATGAGAGAAAGGTCTTGGGTCATAGAGTTCACCATTAAGCACTACCTTCCTAGACATTCAATATTTGATGGATTAGGGGGATTGTGTGTTGTAAATGAAAGTGTGTGCCATTAATTGAAATATTAAACATGGATGGCCAACTAAGCATACATTGTCTAATCAATCTAGTGAATAGCACAACATATCAAATTAAGCCATTAATCCATCCATAAGTTCACAATTAATGCACACTCATTAGGTTAGAGAAATATACCACTTGCATTCATAAGCATGGAACATCAAATAATAAGAATGGATTGTCCACCTATCTAAGAAAGTAAGGCAATTACACTATAACTAAGCTAATGACATGAAAATTAAACTAATTAAACTAAGAAGGTGGCACAATCCATCAAGAAATAATTATGAACCATCAAATAAACCACAAGAGTAATCCATTTAAGCACCATGCCTTGACCATCACTAGATTTATAATATCAACACACATAGACATGCATCAATGTCACAAAATCTAGAGATAAACACATGAACATTCATTCTAGCATACATAGACATATAGATAGAATTAAATGATCAATTGGAAGTATTAAACTACATAAATCATTGTAGAAACAAGATTTATAAATATAAGATGTCAAGACAAGAAATACAACACAAATCCCCATTAATTATAAAATATCAAAGTCTATGAGGCATGCTTAGGGCTATCTTTAGTCCCAAGAGAATGGTTTAGCCACTCATTGATGTTGTCATCCAACCCTCAAGGGCTATTTCCATAGTAGAATTCATCCTCTTCATCTTGTGTTCTTGGTAGAAACCCTAGACGAGTGGAAGAACTTTCCCAAATTGTATGTTTCTATCTCTAATCTCTAGCCAAGTCTCTTTCTCTAACTAACATCTCTTACTCAAAATAGCCAAAATCCTTATATAGGTAGCTCAAATGTTTCACCCAATTGTCAGATCTCGTGCACTAGGACCTCCAAATGATTGCACCACGAGTACACCTTTAATTTGGCTTGAACTCTGTTTTTCACGCAATTTGAGGCAGTTCGATCGATCACATAGTTGCTCGAATTGATCAAACCATAGCGGTACATTTTTTGGATAAGGACAAGGCTGAGATAATTTTATGAAAATGACAAAAGTGGAAGGTGAGGATAAGATCAAAAGGGTTTGATCGATCAGAAGAAAGATTGGATTGATCGAACAGGAAATTTTCCTGAGGATAAGGACAAAGGGCTCGATCCATCATAACAGGGTTGGAACGATCACAGTGTGATCGATCATAGCTTGGTTCGATCGATCATTGAAGGTTTTTTCACCACTTTGCTCCTTTCTTCCACTAGGCTTGAGATTACTTCTTTTAATGCTCTAATTCAGCTGAATTGACTTATTTCAGGGATAAGTGTCTGAAAAGGGAAATAACATGAAATTAATCTAAAACGAAAATAAGATAGAATAAGGTTCTAGAACATTTAAGATTACGGGGTTTAAATGCGCACTTTTTAGCGCTTATCAAGAACTGCTGCAATTTCGGTTGCCATCTAAAAAAGGATTTCATTTTCCTACCATATTGTGTAGTCCCCTCACAACCCTTTTGAGAACTAGGATCATAACTCCTCTTTCTAACTCTTCTTTTGCTAAGACCCGAACGCAAATTTCTGCAAACTGTAGAAGATCCTGTAGTAGCTCCACCTATTACTGTATTCCGTTGGAGAAGATACAAAATTTTCACCTTGGTGCCCTGTAGCACCACAAGAGAATCCATCACGACCATCATTGTTCCACCCTCTGTTACAACCTTGTAACCTTTGGAGTCTAGCACACCTACTGAAATAAGATTCATCTTCAGATCCGGTACATGTCACACATCGGACAATGGTCTCACCAACCTATTGTGCATCTTGATCTTGATTGTTCCAATTCTCAAAATTTTGAAAGTTTTTCTATCTGCAGTCAAAATCAAACCACATTTCACCTCTTTATAGGAAGAGAACGAATCCTTACTGGGACACATATAAACGGAACAACCAGAATCAAGAATCCAACCATCATTAAATGACATACATGAACATAAGGTTGTTATGAGAACATATTCGTCACTTTCCGAATCACTCGTTGTAGTAGTTGCCACATAAGCTGCTTCTTGAACCTTCTCTTTGCCATTCCCATTATTTGCCTTTAGTTTGGGACAATGCTTGATGATGTGCTCTATCTTGTGACAGTAGTAACATTCCACATTTTTATGAGATCTAGATTTGCCCCTACTACCAGAACTCTTTGTCTCACTTTTGCCTCTTACAAATAGACCATCGGCCTCTTCATCTCCAATATTCCCAGACACCTTTTTGCTCAACTCCTGAGAGTTCAATGAGGATTTAATATTCTCCATACTAATAGTGTCTTTTCCATAGAGCAAAGAACACAACAAAATAAGGGCTTAATCCTCATCATCAATTTTAATATCAGTATTTTTTCAAATCCATAGTAATAGAATTGAAATTATCAATATGCTTCTTAAGAGGCACACCTTCCTTCATACAAAGGGTGTAGAGTCTCTATTTCAGGTAGAGTCTGTTGGTGAAAGACTTTGTCATATACAGACTTTCTAATTTCAGCCATAACTTTGCCGCCGTGTCTTCATCAATAACTTCACGCAGCACCTCATCAGCTAGATTCAAAATAATCACACTGCGCGCCTTTTCATCAACCTCATCTTTGTCTTCATTGGATATAGTTGTTGGCAACTTGTCCTTCCCGAACAACACCTTTTTTAGACCTTGCTGAGTCAGCAGGGACTGCATCTTAATGCGCCAAAGACTGAAGCTAATCTTGTTATTAAATTTCTCAATTTCGTATCTGGTCGACATCTTAAAAAAATCCCCAAAAAATTTCTCGGCGAATAGTACTGTATTTGTGAACAGTATCTGTACACAATATACGAACCCGAGCTCTGATACCAGTTTGTTATGAAATAAGGATCGAAAAGGAGTTTATAAGAACAAAAAGAAAATTAATGACAAGAAAATAAAATAGCACACACACAAACGAGATAAGGATTTACGTGGTTCGGCTATGCCTACATCCATGGAGAGAAGATAGAACAATATTTCACTTTGGAAATAAAGAGATACAAGGCAAAATGGCTCACACCCAAAACCCAATTACACCTAAAATCTCTCACTCCAAATAATACTACAAATTCACTCAACTATACTCAACTGATGATCCCAGGATGCGAAAAAACCAAGTGGAGCAAAGGCTATTTATAGCCAAAACATCATCAACATATGTTTGCTGATCAAGTATATTCTTGTTGACCACACATGGCACTATAACAGCTTCTTGAACACTCACCTTGGCTGCCAAGTTGATGAAGTAATGGATGATGTAATCAATGCTGAGTTGGCAAATTTGAGCCACAGTTTTCAACATAGAGTTTGCACAAAGCCAGTGTGTTGTGTTTGCATGGAGCCAACCTGATGAACCCATTGCTGCTGAAGTGACTATTGTACCTCACTAGTCATGACACCCTTAATACATTTGGCTTTCTTATTATGCCTCATATTTTCTGAAAATTTTAACAGTAAAAAATGAGATAATTATGTCATTCAATTGGCATCTATCTCTGCATTTGCTTCAACTTTAAAGCACTAATTTAAAATCCATTGAAATAAGATCATCTTTAAGAAATGCAGCATATAAGGTATTAGGCATCACATTAAACAAAAGTAAATACATTACAATTTAAACTCTTGGTACATGTATTGCTATATGGCGAGGATCAATAATGGCCCTAGCAGTTTCAATGTAACTAAATGAAATAGAGCATCACTCTACACAGAACATCAAAGACAAACAGAATATGATTACTCTCCTCATGAAAACTAATTTTTTACCTTTAGAATTTCAAGCACAAAGAAAAGGACAATACTGTTTGATAAATAAATAATAATAATAATAATAAAAACTCTAGCTAGTATCTTGTGTGTGTATAATGTGTATATATATACACACACATTTATATATACGTTGAAACTTGAAAGTTTCAGCAGTACTACAATTTTGAGATGGCCTTAATTATCCATTAGAACTGGGTTGGACCATATGAGGTTGCTGGTGTAGTGTCCCATGTGCTCCATTAGTCATGGAGCCCTTGGTACATTTGCCTTTTGTAGTACACCACATATTTCCTGAAAATGTTACAACTTTTCTTGCTAAAATCAATAAAAGAGAAAGAATTTTTGGTATGCAGGAAACATCTAGGTGCCCATGAAGGAAAAATCTTAACATCACTCCAAACTACCAAGCCAACATTAAGGAAAATAGAACATAACCAAATTTCATAAACATGATTTCTTATAAGGACAAATGTAAGAATAATAGTAATGAGCAGTGAAATACCTTGCCACTGTAGGTCCTAAGAGGAACACCAAATGCACTGGCCAATCCAAAGTCAGCAAACTTCAAGACCTTGTTGTCGATATCTATAAGCAAATTCTTAGGTTTCAAATCCCGATGGAGTATTTTATGAGAATGACATGTTTAAATTTTTTGAATATTACAAAGAGGATTAAATATTGTAGTAAAAGCTATATTCAAAAGCATGTAAGCATCGCGGCCAAAGTATACATCTTACCGATTTATTAACAAAAGTAAATAGAATTAAAGCCCCAATGAGGAAAATGTTACGTCATTCATGGGTTGTATTGTTACCTTACTTCTTTTAGTAATCCACATACACTTAATTGCACCTAAACAATACAACCTTCAAATGTGCAGAATATGTTACTTGAATTATATCATTCAGAGCGTCGTAATAAGTGACATCTCCGTCAATAAGGTTCCTATCTCTTGAACTCAAGAAGCTTGATGTTTTTGCAGTGACAATAACTCCACTATTTTGTGTTTTTCTTATTTTCTCAAGATCTTTCGTGTGAAATCGATATCCATTTACAATATATCCTTTATATCTTTTTGCAACATTATAAGGACCACGAGCCATCAATCTTATTTCATCGGAAATATCCTCATGACCAGCATCTACTAGTTGACTTACCTGTTTTGTTATAAGAAATATTATTTAACACCCACTTGTTAGAGTTATATAATTAAACAAATATGACAATTAAGGTCAACAACGTCAAATTCTTACATGATTCTTGAACCAATTCAGAAATGTTGCATTATGCATGCGTTGTACTTCCCTTGGTCGTGCTCTACGATTGTTTGCCATAATTTCATCTTTATGTTTTTTGGATTTTACATAAGGCTTGTAAGTCATATTATATAATTACATTGCTAAGACATTTTTATAGCATTAAACAATCAACTTACATCTGAAATGGGGCAATTGCTTCACAGTTGGACAATACATATTGGTGTGCTTGCGTTAATGTCATCCATTTCAACACGACCATGCTAGTCTTTCCAAGAGGACGACCCCTTAATGGGAACATTCTTCCTAAGTCAACATCATTACCCTCAAAATTCCTTATTGGTCGACTTAGCCTTGTCTTAACACCATGCAAGTACCTAGACCAAAATGTTAGGCATTCTTCAGCTAGGTATCCTTTAGCAATTGATCCCTCTAGATAACTTCTATTACGTACATAACCCTTAAGTCTACATAAGTACCTATAAGTATATAATTGAATTAATCTTAAATATGTTTGATTACAATTCAAAGTGCATCATATGAAAATTAATTACCTCAATAATTAATACATACCTCTCAATGGGATACATATTTTGATAGTGTACAAGTCCACCAAGTCTTAACTCCCCTGCTACATGAACGGTCAAATGCACCATTATGTCAAAAAAGGATGGTGGAAAAATCCTTTCCAAGTGACAAAGTACTAGTGCAAATCGAGCTTTTTGAAGTCTGTAGATGCTAGAAAATCACTAATAGTCCAAAGCACTGCCACTTTCATTTTAAACATGGCATTACTTATTGCATCAAATGTGTCCACACCAACCTCCCATAATTCCTTTAACTCTTCTATCAAAGGTTGTAAATACACATCAATTCCTAGCTCTCGAGGTCCTGGAATGAGTAGTGACATGATAAAATTTGGTTGCTTCATGCAGATCTTCCGGGACACGTTGTATAGGATCAGAATAATAGGCTACGTGTTGTGGGATGTGCTCATGGTCTTAAAGGGATTGAATCTGTCAGTCAGGGTGCTCATAGTCAAAAGTTTTCCATGCACTAGAATCAGTAGGGTACTTAAGGATCCTATCATTTATACGCCCTTCGGCATGCCATTTCATTTCACTTGATGTTTTTGATGACATGAACAACCTTTGAAGCCTTGGTATTAAAGGAAAGTGATATAGTACCTTGGCAGGAACTTTTCGAACCTTAACGGAGGAAGATGATGCCTCATCATCAGAAAATGTTTTCCATCTTGAAATACCACATGTTGCACAAGAATCGTGATTGACTGTCTTCTTCCAATATAACATGCAATCATTAGGACAAGCATCAATTTTTTTATAATCTAAGCCTAAGTCTCCAATAATCTTTTTGGTCTCATAAAAAGACTTTGGTAATCTTTCACCATCTGGAAATGCTTCTTTTAACAACTCAAGTAACATTGTGAATGACTTATTGGTCCATCCACCAAGACAATTTATATGAAACAGCCGAACAATAAATGAGAGCTTTGTGAGCTGCTTACATCCCGAGTATAATTCCATTTCAGCTTCTTCTACCAACTTAAAAAACTTCGTAACATCTAAATTGGGTCTCTCGGTGGCTTTATACATCGGATCATCCACCTCATTGTTAAGACTTCTAACTCCAAATGCATCATGTAACATCCCTTGTATGTCTAAGACCTCACGCTCTATTACGTTATTAACATCTCTTGAAGAGATTCTCTCCCCATAGAACACCCAACATGTGTAATTATTAAGAAATCCATCTGCAATAATATGATTTAATACTTCTTGATGATTCTTCCAAAAGTAATTGCTACACTTAGTGCATGGACATAAGATCATCCCCTCTTTAGCTGCATTAGAAAATGAAAAATCCAAAAAGGAACAGTATTCTAAAAAATGTACCTTGATTTGTGAATCCAACTCCTATCCATATTTGTGTCCTTAAAGTGGCAACTATAAGCAATGTGATTGAAGAAACTACAAAGGCAAGTAGGTTATAGAGTACATGCAAGCATGATACATGAAATTAGTAGCTTCATGTAAAAGAGTCAACTAAGGCATAAAATTATGATCTCTCCTTCCCCTTCTGTCCCCTCCCATCCCATTCTGTTTTCACCTTTACCGCATTAATTCTTCAAGTTTAAGTGAAGTCTCCGATGCTAGCTGCAATATACTTTACTACCTAAGCTCACACACAGTAAAATATACTGAGAATATAAAAAACCAACTTATTACTGGAAATACTTTTATTATCATAGTTGCTTAATGAAGAATAGGGTACAATCCGTTGCTAATTTAGTGAGGAAATAAGTTATATTATTGTCTCATATACAGCATAATCTGTAAACTAATAACCACATCTAAGAGGAAATAGATTAGAGTTTATAGGAGGAAAGGATGGGGGGGAAGGGAAGTGAGGATGCTGGGTGAGGTGTAAACTGTGAGATATATATTTTGGGAAGATTGTGAAAAATATATATTTTATATATTGGCAACTTTCGGTGTCAAAACAAGTCCTAGTCAAGTTGTAATTTCAAGTTACTATATCGGGATCGACAGCGACTGCGGAATTGGAAGGTTGTTCAAAGTTATCATGACTAAGATTATTCGAGAAAGGTAAGAACGACACTTTAGGAAGGAATTTAAAAAGGTTAGGACATATTCCATACTTGGTATATTTTCAGAAATTTCCAAAACAAGGTTTTTACCAAGTTTAACCTGAAAATTCAAGTCTGCTAGACTTGAACCGGTTCAACCCCATTGAACCGGTTTAAGGCCTTCAAGATTGGCTTCGAATTCTTACTGCCAATCTTGAACTGGTTCAACACCCTTGAACCGGTTAAAGAAGTCCTATTCAGGTTACAATTTCAGTTTCCTGTTTTTGATTTCTTTCCTAGTTGGTCTAGAATTGTACCAAGTCCTATGCATGAATTTTTCCATATCTTCAGAGGGACTAGGACATTCTAAACTCTATATAAACCATGTCATATACATAGGTTTATTTATGACCTTAAGGAACATCAATTATATATTTTGAGAAAGCCTTTTGAGAGAGATTTTTATACGTGGCTTTTGCATAAAAAATTTCAAATCTATTTGAGAGCCTTTTGAGAGATATTTTTATTCAAAAAATCAATCTAATTTTCTGATTTTATTTTTGAGAACACACACATAAACACAAGAGTGATTTAGTAGCGTTGTTCTCTATCTCATCGGAATTAGAGCATAATCGAAGATTTAGAAATTCCGGAAATGCAAAATTCATTCGTTCTTCGTCAAATTCAGATTTAGAAGAAAAGGGGTGAAGCGATCACACTTTGAAGGGGTAAGAGCCTTCGTGGAGTGTTGTTTGATCTACCTGCAACTCTTCTACAGAGATCAAAAGTAAGTCTGAGGTAGAGAGCTGTTAGACGGGGGAGTCGCAAAGCCAGAGATTGTCAGCAAGTGGTTTTTGGTAGAACAATAGGGTGTGAGACCGAGTCAAAGTTCGGTATACTTTACTTCAAACATAGTAGATCGTTTATCTCAGGACTGCAAAGTCCAACGAGGTTTTTCCTGATACAATTGGTCTATTCTACCAATTGGGATTTCCTCGATAAAATTCTGGTGTCATTTCTCAAACTCTATTTGCTTTACTTGCACTTTATTTTTGCTTTATGGTCTGATTTTAGTTTTATTTCAGTAAAATTAAAATAAGTAAAAATTGGATAAAAGAATAAGTTAAATATATTTACCATCTTCTAGGTTATCTATCCATATTATATTCCACAATCATTCCGCCGTACAAACACTCAACAAGTGGTATAAGAGTCATCCTCTATACATTGAGTTAATCCTTGTGGAATTTTTTTTGAAAAATAAAATTATTATTTTTTTTTTCAAAAATTCATAATGGAAAATCCTATGAATGAGGGTGACTTGGATCTTGTTTTTAATGATTTAAGTTCGGATGAGGAACTTTCTCATTTATCTAAAAGATATGGAAGACTTTTTAAAAATAGAAAGAATAAAAAATTTAGTAAAGGAGATCCTTCTAAATTTAAAGAGAAGAAAAATAAGAAAGATACTTCTAATACTTTTCTTGCTAATGTTGATAATGATACTGCTAATAATTCTTCTTTTTGTGTAGGAGATTTTATCAAATTTGGGACATTAAGCAAGGTTGGTTCTTATGATTCAGATGATAAAAAAATTGAAGGAGAACTAAGTGAAAACAATACATTGAAAATCTTTGAGGCAATGTTAAATGCTAGTCAGAAGCAGTCTGAGGAACTAGAGTTGATGAAAAAGGAGAATGATACCTTGAAGAAGGAGAATAAGCAAAAACAGAAATTGCTTGAGGAGATCAAAGTTGAAATTCAGAATCTTTAAGGTAAAGTAAAAATTCTCGAGAGCGAGATAAGTCAAGCTAATTCTGTTAGAGAATCTCTTGTTGCTAAAATTATTTTTCTTGAACCTAAATTGAAAAAATCTCAAGAGAAATTAATTGCCTTTAATTCTGGACAGATTAAGCTTGATAAGATGGTTAGTGTTGGTAAACATGTAGGTGATGAAACTCGAGTAGATTGTATTGAGGCTTCATCTAGTAAAAAGGGTCAAATTGTTTTTGTTAAACCCATGAACTTGAATGTGCCTATTGTTAAGCCTAAACTTTTTGTTGAGCCTATGCATGCTAAGAATGTGTCCAAGGTGGTTTATTGTTCTTATTGTGGTAAAACTGGACATAGTCAACACTATTGTTATAAAAAGAAAATGGATAATTCTTGTTCTGATTTTCATGGTTATAATTCCTTTGTACAAAATAAGTTTCATGCTAGAAAGCAAAATAATGAAATAAATCTATAAAAAATTGTGCTAAAAGGAATTCACATAAGAAAAAGAATGTTCTTGATGTTCCTAAAAATTCTCATCAAAAGTTGAAAGTGAAAGCTGTTTGGGTGAAGAAAGAGGATTTGAAACTGTATGTGCCTTTTGATACCATAGAATTTGTTTCCAATAGGTCATTGGGTGCAAAACCCTCAGAGTAAAAAGCTAAAAAGATTTTATGGTCATGGACTATACTTTGATAAATATCTTATTTCCATTGGACCATATCTTGAAGTTTAAGATTTAGGTTGTTTTTCTTTCATGAAAAAGTGATGAACATATTTTTCTGGTCAATACACGAGTGATAATTATTTCTCTTGAATTAATTATTTTTGAATGCAAATTGGGGACACATGATTATTTGATGAAAAGGTTCTTGATGTGTAATCTATATGTTGAAAGACAATTTGCTTTGTTTATTTCTTTTTAGAGATGAGCCTCTTGAGTTCATATTTTTCATGTGCACTAGTCCAACTCTGAGAAATTTAATTGAAAATCATTGTGAAGTTGACTAGGTCACATTGCTCATAAAAGGTATAAGGTTATTGTTTTAAAAATAAAAAATAAAAAATAAAAAATGAGCATGTGTATATATAAAAAAAAAATGATGAAATTTCAGCATGAAAAGAAAAGAAAAATCAAAAGAATGCTGAAAATCTTTGCTAAGGAAAATGCTACCTATTGAGACTAGTTCGAAAGCTCCTACTAGACTTTAAAGAGGAGCTAATTGAGTAAAAATAAAAGAGGAGACAAGTCAAAATAGGGAATTGGTGTCTACTCTTTAGAGTAAAAGCCGTCTTGCTTAGAAAAGTTTGCTCAAAACAATCTTATTTTGATGCTTTTCGATCAATATGATTTAGACAGTTAATTAATGTGATTTGATTGAAATTTGATGAAATTAGATTGCACACATATACACACATGTGAACTTGTTAGGCAAATTTCTAATTTTTTATAAAATTGCAAGTTGAATTTCATGTTATGATTGCATGCTTGAGAATTGATTTGATTGAATAATTTGTGGTGTCTAAAAATTGTGTTTTAAAATTCTCTTGAATTCTTCAGAAATTTTTGGATCTCATATATGCTTGAAATTAATGGAAATTGTTATATCATATTTTTTGTTCAAATATCAGAAAAATGAAAAAAAAATTAAAAAATAAAAAAATAATCCAAAAAGATTTTCCATTTAGTTTTTATTAGGAATTTTTGTTTTTGATTGGATGGAGATATCATGTGTATGATTTTGAGCATGTTTGGTTCTATATATCTTGTGGATGGAACATGTGTCATCTTGGATACTTGTTTTTGGTTCTATTGCTACTATATATCATCAATTTTTTGTGATTATTGCCATATCTTATGCATGGATGATAGTTTTGATCTCTCTTCTTGCTAATTCTTCCACATTATTTCTTTTCTTTCTTTGTTAAGCTTTATCTGTCAATTTGTAATAAAAAGGGGGAGAAGTGTGCATATTTGAGGGGGAGAGTTTCTAGAATTGAGGGGGACATATATATATATATATATATATATATATATATATATTGATATTCATATATTGATAAATGTTGCTTGTTTATCTTTCTTAATTAAGCTTCACAAATAGTTTTGTTGAGCTGATGTGCAGATTACAAGTTGTTACAAGTGTTGAAGCTTCATGATGTTCAAGAAGAGTTCCGTTTTTTTCCGCTTGGGTAGATTACATGTTGTTTTTAGGTTTTGTCACGAAATTGCCAAAGGGGGAGATTGTGAGATATATATTTTGGCAACTTTCGGTGTCAAAACAAGTCCTAATCGGGTTGTAATTTCAAGTTACTATATCGGGATCGACAGCGACTGCGGAATTGGAAGTTTGTTCAAAGTTTACCATGACTGAGATCATTCGAGAAAGGTAAGAATAACACTTTAGGAAGGAATCTAAAAAGGTTAGGACACATTCCATACTTGGTATATTTTCAGAAATTCCAAAACAAGGTTTTTACCAAGTTCAACCTGAAAATTCAAGTCTGTTAGACTTGAACCGATTCAGCTCCATTGAACCGGTTCAAGGCCTTCAAGATTGGTTTCGAATTCTTATTGCCAATCTTGAACCGGTTTAGCACCCTTGAACTGGTTCAAGAAGTCCTGTTCAGGTTACAATTTCAGTTTCTTGTTTCTGATTTCTTTTCTAGTTGGTCTAGAATTGTACCAAGTCCTATGCACGAATTTTTCCATATTTTCGGAGGGACTAGGACATTCTAAACTCTATATAAACCTTATCATACACATAGGTTTATTCATGGATTTAAGGAACATCAATTCTATATTTTGAGAAAGCCTTTTAAGAGATATTTTTATACGTAGCTTTTGCATAAAAAAATTCAAATCTAATTGAGAGCCTTTTGAGAGATATTTTTATTCAGAAAATCTATCTGATTTTCTGATTTTATTTTTGAGAGCACACACATAAACACAAGAGTGATTTAGTAGTGTTGTTCTGTATCTCAACGGAATTGGAGCATAATCGAAGATTCAGAAATTCCAGAAAAGCAAAATTCATTCGTTCTTCGTCAAATTCAGATCCAGAAACAAAGGGGTGAAGCGATCACACTTTGAAGGGGTCAGAGCATTTGTGGAGTGTTGTCTAATCTACCTACAACTCTTCTACAGAGATCAAGAGTAAGTTTGAGGTCGAGAGCTGTTGGACGGGGGAGTTGCAAAGCCAAGGATTGTCAGCAATTGGTTTTTGGTAGAACGATAGGGTGTGAGACTGAGTCAAAGTTCGGTATACTTTGCTTCAAACATAGTGGATTGTTTATCTCAGGATTGTAAAGTCCAATGAGGTTTTTCCTATTACAATTGGTCTATTTTACCGATTGGGGTTTCCTCGATAAAATCCTGGTGTCTTAAACTCTATTTACTTTACTTGCACTTTATTTTTGCTTTATGGTTTGATTTTAGTTTTATTTTAGTAAAATTAAAATAATTAAAAATTGGATAGAAGAACAAGTTAAATATATTTACAATCCTCTAGGTTATCTATCTATATTATATTCCACAACCATTCCGCTGCGCATACTCAACATAAACTACATACATACAAGTTCAAGTTGTCAAAGAACTTTGATTATGGATAGAATTGAATGATTAGAAAACTTAATGCAACCTTATGAACAAGTAAACTATGGCCAGCTTTGAGTGCCATTCATTGGAATCCAAATTGTGGCGATTTTTAGATTGCCAAAAGAATTGAAAATTGCTACCAATAAAAAAAATCAGATACTGAAATCAGATAACCTATGATGAACAATGCTAATGCTGGTCACAAAAAGGAAGAAGAATGACGAGCTGGTGTTGAAAATTAGAAGATTGTGCTAATGCACTACTGTATATACAAACATCAATGCCTAATTGAGCATGAAATCCAATAAAAACAAATTATGATGAAGAGTGAAAACCTAGGGTTCGCAGTCTGATATAGGAGAAATAGTGATGAGTGAAGAAGTGAGGAGCGAGAGTAGAGAGAGAAGATTGAAGAACGGGAGTGGAGAGAGAAAGTGAGAAATAACATTAATCCCCAATTAATAATAAAATAATGAATTCAAACAAAAAATGAGCTGTGAAATTTACTTGCGAGTGAACAAAAATGGAGATAATGTCGATGATTGTTGGCCTGTTTTGGCGAATCAGATGTCGATTTGGCTCCCAAATCAAACTCCAACCGGGACTGTGTTCGCAGTATAATTTTGGTAGATCAAGATCTCCATTGAAGAGCGGGGAGCGAGGAGAGACCAGTCTGAGTCGAGCTAGATAGAGAAAGGAGTGGGGTAGAGAGATAAAGTGAGGAGCGACGAGAAAGGATTGGGGATAGAGAGAGAGTCTGAGTCGAACTAGAGAGAGAAAGGATTGGGGTTAGAGAGAGAAAGTGAGGAGTGATTGGAAATTGGAAAATGAAAAATGAAAAATGAAAAAAGAAAAATAAAAAACTGAATAATAATAATAATAAATGTCGGCGGCATTTTTTTACTTCTGGCGGCATTTTTAATAAAGTGCTTTTAAAATTGATTTTTTAACAGCATTTTATAATATTTGCTGCTAATTTTTTGCTGCTATACCCATCTTATCTTGGGCCCTTTGTGTTCTAAAAATGAGAAACTGCTTATACGCTATTTTTATTTTATTTTGGAGCTAATATTATGGTTGTCTTGACTGTAATTTGGGCAACTCCTACTCGACCAATAGTTTATGTTCTTTTTAAATGAAGTATTATTTTAATTTTATTTTGGAGCTAATATTGTGGTTATCTTGACCATATTTGATTAATAAGGCATAAGTGAATCATTATTTTAATTTTATGTTGGAGCTAATATTGTGGTTATCTCGACCATATTTGATTAATAAGGCTGCAAATTTGGGCAACTCCTAATCAACGAATGGGTGTCCGCACGAACTTGTAACACAATCATTGCGACTCAGGTTGGCCTACCTACTCGGGTGGGGACCCGAACGCTTAACGTGACACTAAATCATGGACTAGCTCTAATATCAATTGTAACGAGTAGGATACTTAATGATTTGACCTAAAAACTTAAATTGTTAGATGAGACTAACACTTGACCCATTTTTACCCATTACATTTATCGTCCGAAGAATATAATGTAGAACAAACCTCTAACATTAGCCTTGAAGTATCCGAAGAAAGAAATTATTTCTCACAAATCACATCGTATTTATTGTAATTTGATCCATGACCTGGCATTCCTTTGTGCCATTGGTTCATTTGTTGATATGCGGAGAGGCTATTTAGAGGAGAGGAGCAGTAATATTTGTGCTCCATGAACTCCCTCCTGCACTTCAACTTCTTGTTTTACTCCTTATTTTAATAAACAAAATGATTAAACCAGAGAAGTTTTTCCTTTGTTCTCCTATGTTCCCTTATTTCCTTCTTCTTATGCCTCGTCAATCATAATGTTCCATAAAATATCGTCACAACCCTGTTGAGTAATTAATAGAGATAGACCTTAGTTGTTGAAGAGAATTAATAGAGATAGACTTGGTTGTTGAAGAGGACTAATAGAGATGGACCTTAGTTGTTGAAGAATAAATAATAAAAAAACGGACACTTTGGTCATTGTAGCACAAGAGAAGTTTATAGAAGGGGGGCGGACTTTTGATTTATGGGGACAAATTTATATAGTGAATTTATTTTAGTAATTTTAGTTAGGTCATCTTCATAAATTCTGAAAAAATTGAAGTATAAAATGAAAAAAAAAAAAAAAAAAAAAAAAAAAACCAGTGGGAGAGAATTGTAATTTTAGTGAGGGAATCTTCATAAATTCCCAAAAATTTGAGGTATAAATTGCAAAAAAAAAATCTAGTGAGGGCGAATTATAATTTTAGTAAGGGTATATTCATAAATTCTCAAAATTTTGAAATATAAAATGCAAAAACAAAAAATTCAATTGTGACGGTCTTATTGTAGGTCCGTGCTTGATTGAAGCGCAATAACATCTCCCTCTTCTTTTCTTTTCTTTTCTTGCATTGAATTTTTATTATTATTATTTTCTTATTTTTTAAACAAGAAACACACTCATATACCTACTTTTTATTCCGATGAAATCTTGAACCTTCAACCTTTTATTTTAAAAGGGAAGAGAATACCATTAGACTACACAACCCTTAGATTATTATATCGAATACAGATATTTATTTCTTGATTGCTTCAATATGACCTTATTTTTTGTAAAAATATAGTTACTATTCACTATTGCAATTGAATTGATGGGTGTGTGATTATCAACTAGAAAGTTGATGGGTGTGTGAGTATCAACTTAAAAAAAAAAAAAACTTACTAACTGATTCAATTCTAATTTTGAGTACGATAATTTCATTTAGGTTGTATACCACCCAGGAATGTAAGTACACAAATATTTGGAATGTGGGGATTAATTGCATTTGTAGGAGTACTTTTTTTTAATTATGAAATTGTGGGAGCACATTTTTTCCATTAAGAAGTTTTGCTTAAACTAATCTCAATCTATTGATTTCAACTACCTTGCCAATGTACTGATGAAGCATACAAATATCAAAGTGGAACCGCCAAACCTTGGCTATTTAGGCAGATGGAACATACAACCAGACCTTAATCAGTTTCAAAACTATTTGGAGATTGGTGCGTCGCTACACCATAAGCTTAAGAGTGTGCATTAAGACAAGGGCCAAGTTTTACATTTATAAAAGCCACTACTACCTTCACTAAAAATATAGTTAGGGTGAGTAGGGATCGTCCCAAGGGATTGAAGTCAAATTTGGTTGTGGAATCACTGTTAGGGTTAGCAGGTCGAGTGAACAAACAAATAGTTGGTTGGTTGATTAAACTAGAGAACCAATTAAACTAAATAATTGAATGCAATAAAGAGTAAGTAAGAGAGAGATCTTGGGGTTTAGAGGTTACCACCAAACAATACTTTTCTACACCTTTAACAAGTGACTAATGAGGGAAATGTGTGTTGCAATATTGATGTGTGTGTGTGTTTGGTTGATTCAATTAGTAAGGGTGACCAATTAAGTATATATTGTTTAAGCAACATGTGAAAAGCATAATATATCTAACAATTAAGTATATATTGTCTAAATAACATGTGAAAAGCACAATATATCTAGCAAGTCATTAATCCTTTCATTAAGCTTACAAGCCAAATACACTACAAGGTTAGAGACATATGCTACTTGCATTCAAAAGTATGGAACATCAAACAACAAGCATGGATTGTCTTCCTATCTAACAACTATGCTACCACTACATTACAATTAAGCTAATGACATGAAATTAAACTAATTAAGCTAAGGGAGAGGCACAATTCATCAAGAAATGAGCATGAACCATCAAAAAAATTACAAGAGCATTCCATTAAGCACAATGTTTTGACAATCTCTAGATCTATGGCATTAATACATATAGACATGCATCAATAACACAAGAAATAGAGACAAACACATGAACATCTATTCTAACATACATAGACATATGGATAGAATGAAATGATCAATTGGAAGCATTAAACCACATAAATCATTGAATAAACACGATCTATATATATAAAAGTGCCAAAACATGTATTACAACACTAATCCCTCAATAATACACAAAATCAAGACATAGAAAGCATGCTTGGGGCTAACTCTAGCCCCAAGAAGATGTTTAGCCACTCATGGTAGTGCTTCTCCAACCCTCAAGGGCTAACTCCATGGTAGAGATTTGCTCCTTGGTTGATGAAGAGTCTTCAATGGTGTCTCTAGCCTCCTCCGCCCCTAAGCTTCCTCTCCAAGAGTTCTACAAGGTATGATATGATATGATGTGATATCATGTAAAAAATAATCCTTATCCTTATATAGGTAGGTCAAATGACACCCAAAATAAGCTAGGGTCGTACAGCAAATATTCCCCAATGATTGGATAAAGGATAACTTTTTGTGAGCTAGAAATTTAACTTTTTTGCACTGGAAGAAGTTCGATCGATCGAACCTTGGACTTGGATCGATCGAACATGGTTGAGATCTATCGAACTTAGGCTGGATCGATCCTCAATGGCGACGCCTTTTTGGATAAAAACAAATCTGAGATATTTTGAAGATATTTTGGAAAAAGGACAAAAGCGGTTGGTAAGGTGGTACAGCTGGATAAAATCTGGCATCTGGATAAGGACAAGAAAGTTCGATCGATCGAAGAATGATGTTGGATCAATCGAACTTTTAGGATATCTGAAAATGACATCATGGCTTGGATCTATCTTAAAGTGCTGAGATCGATGGAAGTTCGATCGATCGAAGACTGATGTTGGATCGATCGAAGATGCTGAAATTCCACCTTTGAATTTCCTTTTGCTCTACTTTGCTCATTTCTTCGATTCATCCCAGAATTGCTTCATTTCTGCTCTTATTTGGCTAAGTTAGCTTATTTAGGGGATAAGTACTTGAAAATGGAAATAACATGAAATTAATCTAAGGCAGGAAAATAAGATAGATAAAGGTACTAGAATGCCTAAGCTTAAGGGGTTTAAATACACACTTTTCAGCCCTCATCACACCCCAAACTTGAATATTGCTAGTCCCTAGCAATGAACTAGAAAGTAAAGGACTGAAATGAATAGCTAAACAACTATGAACTAGAAAACAATAAATGGATAACGCCACTTTCGTAGGAAACACGATTGCACTTAGTATATGCAACAAGCCTTTTAAACCCCTAGGTTACCCCTAGTGGACGAGTGAAGTCTCGTGAGGGTTTCCAAAAATGATACCCACAAACATTAAGCTCATTCTCACAAAAAAGACACCAATATTATAAACAAGCATTGGGAGAAAACTACCTCAAGTATGCAATTTTTCAAACATTTCTAAGCAATCTCCCAAAATTTCAACATCAGGCAAGCAAATATGGTCCTTCACACATCAAAAAAATGATCATGCAAATCAAAACAACACTGTAATCCTTTTTGAGTGGACCGGCATCAAATGTGTTGCTATCTTAGCCAACTAAAGAATTAATCACATCCTTACCCTCAAACTAGCACGCAAATCTAGTACCGATCATCAAGACAAAAAGTGGATCTTTTTATTAAAACTTTATTGTTCTAGGTGCGCTTATTCTTTTCACTCGATTTTTTTTTTTTTTTTTTTTAGGATCAAAGATGGAAGCATGGTGCAATGTGTTGATCTATTAAGCTTTCTAGAGATTCATGAGGTCGAGCGTTAGGTCAATAACTCCCAAACCAGACAGTTTTAGGGCACTAGGTGTTCAAACACCCCTACGGACTTACAAGCTCAAATCAACTAGGCTACAAATCAAGACAACCTCCATCTAATCATTTCCCACTTCTCACCTTTTGGGAGAAGTCCTCACTTTTTTTTATTACTTTTGCAACTTTCCTTTTTTTTTTTTTTTTTTT